CTTCTGATCTGTATTATGGCCATCCTCAATAGTGCACTAACAATAGGCAATTATCCCATTGGCAAGCTCAGGAAACTGGACATATTCTGGTAGAAAATGCTGATCTTATGTGCACTTCTGCTCTCCTATTGCCTAGTTTCTTTGATGTATTTTATCTATCATTTTCTGTTTTATTTACTTAATGAATATTATTGTATTTACTTTTTACTTGTATTTGTTAATTTAAAATCGTGTATTACAGAGTTAAAACTATTTGCGATTTATAACGCGCAAGAACAAAATTTAGCTGGCTGTGATGCTAAAGAGAATGCAATGCTCTGTTGGTCACACATATTGATCACAATAAGATATTGACAATCAAGTTAGCAGCAATGTTTTTTCTTACCTTTGAATATTTAGTCGGCATATATGTCAAGTTATTGGGGCATTTTATTCATTCCGCTGTTGACACATTTTGTCTTTGACATATTAGATTTGGTATGTTTTAAATGCACGTTACGATACCAGGGGTGTCAACTCTTTTGGCAGCAATGTGCTTTTAAGTTGGCCGATTATGTAGTCAAATGATCCATCAGTTTAGAGACTAACAAAAATGGCAGCTGGTTGCAATTCATTTTATCAAGTGCGTCTGCAACTTACCTGACTTGTAATCATCGAAGCTCGTGTGTCTTGCATCAAAAGATACTGCAACTGGCCCATAAAACCCGACAGCTTGAAGCAATGCATCCTCGTCAAAATATGGCAGAATCACATGACCGGTAATTTGAACTGCCCGTTTGCTCCTGTCATAGGCACATTGAGGGTTAGGCACGTCGGTGATGTTTGAAATATATGGATAGTCTTGGTCCAGTTGCAAGCCACCGTTATTTTTTACGTATTTGAAGGCGTTTGGTGCATCACCGCCATTGCATCCCTCATTTGCACCCTCATGACTGCAGTCGACCAGTTGTTGAACGGACAGAGTTTCAAGTCTGTCATTATGTATATAGTGGTGACCTTCTATAGCACCTGCGGCACCAAATGCCCAACAGCAGCCACACGGCCCTTGACGCTGAACAGGCGTCACAGCTCC